CTTAGAAGCCATTCTTCCTTGGGGAGGGAGGGAAGACCATGTCCACTACAGAAGGTGATACTGCTCTTATTACTTTTTCTCCCTCCTCCTTAGTAGGAGAGATTATAAATGATTTGTTGGTACTGGGAATAGCCTCAGGTGAAAAGCTAAAGGATAGGGATTTACGTGCATCAGAGGGTAAGATGATTAGGAGAGGAAAGGGACCATGACTCTCAGCTCCCAGCTTCCACATAGCTAGAAGTCTTCCAGGAAACTGACTGCTGAGCAATAGGTAAGTACAGGTGCTTTTATTTCTTTTTTTTTGTTTTTCCATTTTTTTAAATTAAATCATAGCAGTGTACATTAATATTATCATGGGGTACAGTGTACTGTTTCTATATACAATTTGAAATACTTTCATCCAACTGGTTAACATAGCCTTCATGTCTTTTTCTTAGTTATTGTGTTAAGACATTTATATTCTACAATTAGAGAGATTCACATGTACCCTTATAGGATGAACCATAGGTGTGATCCTATCAATCATCCTCCCTCCACCCACCCTCCCACCTTCCTTTCTATACTGCTGGTAGGATTTCAAACTAATACATTCCTTTTGGAAAGACATCTGGAGAACACTTAAAGAACTAAAAATAGACCTGCCATTTGATCCTATAATTCCTCTATTAGGTATATATCCAGAAGACCAAAAATCACACTACAATAAAGATACTTGTATCAGAATGTTCATTGCAGCCCAATCCATAATTTCTAGGTCATGAAAGAAGCTCAAGAACCCATTGATCCACTAATGGATCAATAAATTGCATATGTACACCATGGAATACTATGCAGCCATTAAGAAAGATGGAGATTTTACCTCCTTCGAGTTTACATGGATGGAGCTGGAAAATATTCTTCTTAGCCAAGTATCCCAAGAATGGAAGAAAAATTATCCAATGTACTCAGCCCTAGTATGAAACTAATTTATAGCTTTCATAGGAAAGCTATAACCCAATTTTAGCCCAGGTGCTTTTATTTCATTAACAACATTTCTTTTCTTTATTATTTTTTTTTTCTTTTTGAGACAGAGTCTTACTTTCTCACCCTCAGTAGAGTGCTGGAGCATCATCATCATAGCTCACAGCAACCTCAAACTATTGGGCTGAAGCAATTCTCTTGCCTCAGCCTCCCAAGTAGCTGGGACTACAAGCGCTCACCATAATGCCTGGCTATTTTTAGAAATGAAGTCTCGCTCTGGCTCCCTGGCCTCGAATCTGTGAGCTCAGGCAATCCACCCACCTCAGGCTCCCAGAGTGCTAGGATTACAGGTGTGAGCCACCATGCCTGGCTCATGAACTACATTTCTTATGCTTGAACTTGGTCTTGATTTTACACAAAATATCTGCTCTAGAGAATGGCCCTACTGGTCCAATTATCCATGCAAAAGCTTAATGCTGCTGTTTTCTCCACTGGATAGAAACCCTATCTTACTGCTCTCTTTCCTTATTCTGAGCTCTTTTTCAGTTTTTAGCCATTTCTACTTCTTGCCTCTCCTGACAATACCTGGCCCCATCTCTTTCATAGCTCTCACCTTTTGTCATTGAGTCCATTAATGTGAGCCCTTACTCACATTAACAATGGTCATCTTAAAAATTTCATTTATAACTTTATAAAATAATATTGCTTTGTAACCATCCAGAAAAATTTCATTGGCAGATATAGGTAGACACATGCTGTCTTTGAATCCAGATGGCTGTTCAGTAGCCCAGAGCTATGTATTCTATAAAGTCCTGTGCCAAAGGAGTAGCATTCTGTCAATAGACAGAGCGATGCTGAAATATCAGAGTGATTTAAAGACTTCTCAGGAGAAGTCTCAAGATTTGAGAAGGCTCAAAATTTTGTTATGCCCCACAGAATGCATTGCTAGTTAACTCAAAGCTATTAGTCCCACAACTGGGATGGTTCCCACTGGCACATTACTGCCTAGCAGAAGGGGCAGTCATCATTATCAACTTATATTACAAACACAAACAATGTTCCAGATACCATGCTAGATTTTGGGGTTATACAAAGAGAAATGAATCTCTGCCCTCAAGAAACTTATAAACTAGTTCTAGAAGCTCTAGCATTGGACATGATACTATATACAATTATCATTGGAATTAACACATCATGTAAGTGCCAGTATGACACAACACTCTACTCATTCCCAGAATGAGACCAAATCCTCTTGGTGACATTAGTAGATGCAGGATGTTCCAGGAGAGATGAAGTCCTTACAGAGGGTGACCTTAATAGATAACAAATGCTACCGTGACTCTCAGACATACTGAAAAAGGACTGAAGGTAGTTGGATTTAGAGGATAGAGGATCCTTATCAAATTAGTTCTGTGTCATAGGACTGATTGGTAGGTTAGGCTGGAAAATTATTCTGTGATCTTGGGTCTGTGGACAATGTGAGATAATGAAGCACACTTGAGAAAATAGTTCTTAGGGGAAATGCCCGGCCGATGACGGAAGCCTCGAGAGAGGGGAGAGAAAGGGCCAGAGAGAAGGAGGGCAAGAGCCGACAGAGGCCAGTGGTGGGAGGCGGCGGGTAGTTGGTGTCTGGCGGGAGCTGTGCAGAGAACTGGTGCCTCGCTCACCCCCAGCTCCCTGCGCCCTTCACCAACTTGTGGGCCATGAGGCTGGGCAGGGTCTCCTCCAGGCTGCGTGCTTGGATCTGCCCACTGGGTTTGGGTGGGGCATGGGGTGCTGGGAGCTGGTGGTGGTGGGAGAGGGGAGAAGCGTCCAGGGCAGGCGCGGGTGGGGGCGGGGAGGCGGCCTAAAAGGGATTGGGCTGCCATGGACAGCAAGGCGTTCACCAAGGAGCTGGACCAAGTAGGTCGAACAGCTGAATGAGTGTAAACAGCTTAATGAATACCAAGTGCGGACGCTGTGCAAAAAGGCTAAAGAAATTCTTACAAAAGAATCAAATGTGCAGGAGGTTTGATGTTCTGTTACTGTCTGTGGAGATGTGCATGGCAAATTTCATGATCTTATGGAACTCTTTAGAATTGGTGGGAAATCACCAGATACAAACTATTTATTCATGGGCGACTACGGAGACAGAGGTTATTATTCAGTGGAGACTGTCACTCTTCTTGTAGCATTAAAGGTGCATTATCCAGAATGCATTACAATATTGGGAGGAAATGATGAAAGCTGACAAATTACCCAAGTATATGGCTTTTATGATGAATGTCTACAAAAGTATGGGAATGCCAATGTTTGGAAATATTTTACCCATCTATTTGATTATCTCCCACTTACAGTTTTAGTACATGGACAGACAGATACTCTGCCTCCATGGTGGTCTCTCTCCATCCATAGACACACTGGATCATATAAGAACCCTGGATCGCTTGCAGGAAGTACCACATGAGGGCCCAATGTGTGATCTGTTATGGTCAGATCCAGATGATCGTGGTGGGTGGGGTATTTCACCATGTAGTGCTGGCTACACATTTGGACAAGACATTTCTGAAATATTTAACCATGCCAATGGCCTCACTCTGGTTTCTCGTGCTCACCAGCTTGTAATGGAGGGGTACAATTGGTGTTATGATCGGAATGTGGTTCCAATTTTCAGTGCACCCAATTACTGTTATCGTTGTGGGAACCAGGCTGCTATCACGGAATTAGACGACTCTTTAAAGTATTCCTTCCTTCAGTTTACCCAACACCTCTTTGTGGAGAGCCTCACGTTACACGGCACACCCCAGACTATTTCCTGTAAACTCCTCTTGAGGAAAACTGCCTTTGTCTGTGGAAGTGTACCTGGCTTTTTAAAGCAACAAAAGCAACAGTAATCTATGTGTTTCTGTAACAAACTTGGGTCTGTCTTGGCATTAAACCACATCATGGACCAAAATGTGCCACACTAATGATGAGCATTTAGCACAATCTGAGGCTGAAATTGACACACTATGTTCTAGATGGGGGTCAGTCTAACAGTTTGCCTGCTGTATTTGCAGTAACCATTTTCCTCTGGACTATTCAAGTAAAAAATGTAACTAACTGCTTCATCTACTTATCTACTTACATGGAAATTTTAGTTATAGTGTTTAACTAGCATGGATTAATAGAGTTGGAGTTTTATTTTTAAGAAAAATTCACAAAGTAACTTCCACTAACCTATTACCCTTTATTTTATTGAAATGTATAATTAACTTAACTGAAGAAAATATTCTTTTGGGGGGTATGTTGTCATAACATTCAAAGAGATTTCTCTTCATTTAAACTAGGTTACTGTTTTATGTTGCTCTGCATATTTCTGTATATTTTTCATGACAGTGCTTGCATCCTATTTGGTGTACTGAGCAAATAAACTTTACACTTTAAACCACACACACACACACAAAAGAAGATAGTTCTTAGAAGAATATTCTTTTTTTTTCTTAAGAGACAAAGTCTCATTCTGTTACTCTGGGTACAGTGCTGGCATCATAGCTCACAGTAAGCTCAACTCGTAGGCTCAAGTGATCCTCTTGCCTCAGACTCCTGAGTAGCTGAGATTACAGAAGTCCATCACAAGGCTGGGCTATTTTTTTGAAGAGGTGGGGTTTCTCTCTAGCCTGGGCTGGTTTCTAACTTCTGAGCTCAGGTAATCCACCTGCCTTGGCCTCCCAGAGTGCTAGAATTAGAGGAGTGAGCCACCACACTCAGGCTAGAAGGATACTTGTAATAAGAGACAACTCAGCAGAGGCAGCACCTTTGGCTCAGTGAGTAGGGCACTGGTGGCATATACTGAGGATGGTGGGTTCTAAGCTGGCCCTGGCCAAACTGCAACAAAAAATACCCGGACATTGTGACAGGCATCTGTGGTCCCATCTACTCAGGAGGCTGAGGGAAGTGAATTGCCTAAGCCCAAGAGCTGGAGGTTGCTGTGAGCTGTGATGCTACAGCACTCTACCAAGGGTGGAAAAAAAAAAGAGAGATAACTCAGCAGTGATAAGGGATCACCTGAGTCCACTTACCATCTGCTCCTTCACTGCTCTTGCTTCTTTTATTGCGGCGAACACGCTTACTTTCCTCTTCAGAGTATAACTCTTCATCAGAGAAGAAGAAATTCAGTAGGGCCATCTGTAAAAATAACAAGTATATCAGTGAAAGGTTGACCTCTGTCAGATATAGCCAACATAAAAAAAAAATCTAGTTTTCCATAGACAGTCTACTTTTATCTTAAATTTAGTGCATCTAAAGCTTGAGCCCATCTTCTCCTCCACTGTACAAATCCCTTTGTTTTTGATACTATTATTATTCCAATAATGTGGGCATGAAATTTTGGCTAACTTCTAAATCCCCACTCTTCTGCCCTGAATAGTAAATAAGTAGTCCATTATGTCCCATTTGTCCATATTTTTCTGGGGTTCAGAGAGCCCAGCTAAATATTTCTAACCCCCCTAACATAGTAATATTGCCTATTCAGAATTAGCCTTGAGTTTGCTATTCCTGCTGGGATTTCATTATTATGCACCCATGGTTTTACCACATTCCTATTCGTGCTGTACTTGTGGTTTGTTCCATAAATATTGTATGTCTAATACTGAGGTATCATTTATGTCAATGGTCTTCTGAGAGTTACTTATGACAAAGCACACAATTATTCTCACTCTTTCCTAGATTCCTACAGAATTTATGGTCTATGAGACTCATTTTGGGAGGAGAAGGGGCAAGATGGTTGATTGGAGACAGCTTTCAACAGAAGCTACTCTCCAGAGGGAAGGATTATGACCAGAAAGTACCCAACAATGCTGAAGACTGGGAGATGAGCTGAGAGAGAAGAGTGATAACTGCACATCACCTCTGCTGAGGCAAGCTGCGACTCTAAGAAAGCAAATTTCAGCTGAGATTTCAACCCAGAGTCACTGATCCACTAGGATGAGAAAAAGACCAGCTGAATACAAGACAGAGCCACCTACTCCCACCATACCAGGTAGATCCCCAGAGCCTCAGACTGTAATACTGCATGGGTTCTTTTCAAAGCTGTAAGGGAAAAAGCTACAGTCACCAGTCCAAGATCCTTGGCAAAGGGCTGGTTAACCACAATTCCAGGAGCCCCCAATCCAATTTTACCTTACCTGCCCATCTAGCCAAATGGTGAAAAATAATCATGGGATGGAATCAGTGGAAAAACTCTGGCAACATGAATAATCAGAGTAAATCAACTCCCCCAAGAATGGACAAAACAGACACACCAGATGATTCCATTCATAAACAAATGGCTGAGATGTCAGAAATTGAGTTCAGAATTTGCATGGCAAATAAGATCAACAGAATGGAGGTAAAGATGGAATTAGAATTTCAAGGAGTAATTCAAATGTTGTCTCAAGAATTCAACAAATTCAGAGAAAAAAATCACCAAAGATGTCGACACATTGAGGCAAGAACGCGCAGCCCTCAAAGATCTGAAAAGTACAGTAGAATCCCTCAGTAATAGCATGGAGCAGGCAGAAGAAAGGATCTCTGACACTGAAGACAAAGCTTTTCAATGCATCCAAATGCTCAAAAAGGAAGAGAAGTGGAGAGCAAAAATGGATCATTCTCTCAGAGAGCTCTGGGGTAATTCAAAGAAAACTAATATTTGCCTTATAGGAATTCCTGAAGGTGATGAGGTTGCTTCAAAAGGTGAAAATGCTCTACTATAAGAGATAACCAAGGAGAACTTCTCAAACATGGCAAGAGATTCTGAAATTCAGATAGCAGTTTCAGAACCCGAGGATGACTCAACCCAAATAAACCATCTCCCAGACACATCATAATTAACTTCACCAAAGTTAATCTGAAGGAGAAAATTCTGCAGTCAGACATAAGAAAAACATAACCTACAAGGGGAAGAATATTAGAATGACTGCAGATATCTCTGCTGAAGCCTTTCAAGCTAGAAAAGGGTGGTCATCAACCTTTAATCTTCTGAAACAAAATAACTTTCAACCCAGGATCCTGCATCTAGCTAAACTGAGTTTCATTTATGATGAAGAAATTAAATACTTTAATGACATTCACATGTTGAAGAAATTTGCCATAACTAAACCAGCTCTCCAGGATATTCTCAGACCTATCCTCCATAATGACCAGTGTAATCCTCTACCACCAAAGTAAACTCACTCAGAAAATTTTGATCAAATTACAACTTCCACAGTGAGAAAGGATTAAAAATGTCCACTGGACTTTCAAAAAACTCGATACCCAAAATACTACCAGGCTTATCAATATTCTCAATTAATGTGAATGGATTAAATTGTCCTCTAAAGAGGCACAGGTTGGGTGACTGGATATAAAACTCATGCCAGATATCTGTTGTATACAAGAATCTCATCTACCTTAAAAGATAAATATAGACCTAGGGTGAAGGGATGGTCATCTATAATTCAGGAAATTGGAAATAAGAAAAAAGCAGGCTTTAAATCAACAAAATTAAGGAAAGATAAAGATGGTCACTTTGTATTTGTTAAGCACAACACTCAATATGATGAGATTTCAATTATTAACATTTATGCACCCAACCAGAATGCACTTCAGTTTATAAGAGAGAATCTAACAGACCTGAGCAACTTGATTTCCTCCACCTCCATAATAGTCAGAGATTTTAATATCCCTTTGGCAGTGTTGGATAGATCCTCCAATAAGAAACTAAGCAAAGAAATTTTAGACTTAAACTTAACCATTCAACAATTGAATTTAACAGACATCTACAGAAGATTTCATCCTAACAAAACTGATTACACATATTTCTAATCAGTCCATGGAACATTCTCCAAAATTGATCACATCTTAGGTCACAGGTCTAACCTCAGCAAATTTAAAAGAATGGAAATTACTCCTTGTATATTCCCAGATCATCATAAAATAAAAGTTGAACTCACTAACAACAGGAATCTGCATACTCATACAAAATCGTGGAAACGAAATAACCTCATGCTGAATGATAGCTGGGTCATAGATGAGATTAAGAAGAAAATTACCAAATTTTTGGAACAAAATGATAATGAAGACACAAATTACTAGAACCTCTGGGATACCACAAAGGCAGTCCCAAGAGGGGAATTTTATAGCACTGAAAGCCTTCCTCAAGAGAATGGAAAGAGAGGAAGTTAACTTAATAGGACATCTCAAGCAACTGGAAAAAGAAGAACATTCCAACTCCAAACCCAGCAGAAGAAAAGAAATAACTAAAATTAGAGCAGAATTAAAAGAAATTGAAAACAAAAGGATTATACAACAGATCAATAAATCAAAAAGTTGTTTTTTAAAAAAGGTCAGTAAAATAGATGAACCTTTGGCTAACCTAACCAGGAAAAAAAAAAGAGTAAAATCTCTAATTTTATCAATCAGAAATGGTAATGATAAAATAACAAAAGACTTCTCAGAAATTCAAAAAATCCTTAATGAATATTACAAGAAACTTTATTCTCACAAATATGAAAATCTGAAGGAAATAGAACAATACTTGCAAGCATGCCACATTCCTAGCCTTAACCAGAATCAAGTGGAAATGTTAAACAGACCTATATCAAGCTCTGAAATACCATCAACTATACAAAATCTTCCTAAAAAGAAAATCCCAGGACCAGATGGCTTCACATCAGAATTCTACCATACCTTTAAAAAGGAACTAGTAGCTATATTACTCAACCTTTCCCAAAATATAGAAAGAGAAGGAATACCACCAAATACATTCTATGAAGCAAACATCACCTTGATCCCCAAGCCAGGAAAAGACCCAAGAAGAAAAGAAAATTATAGACCAATATCACTAATGAATATTGATGCAAAAATATGCAACAAGATGCTAAAAAACAGAATCCGACAACACACAAAAGAAATTATAGGCTTGACACCTGTGGCTCAGTGGCTAGGGAGCCAGCCACATACACCTAGGTTGGCATGTTCGAATCCAGCCCGGACCCGCCAAACAACAATGACAGCTGCAACCAAAAAATAGCCAGGCGTTCAACACATTCTATGAAGCAAACATCACCTTGATATCAAAACCAGGTAAAGACCCAACAAGAAAAGAAAATTATAGACCAATATCACTAATGAATATTGATGCAAAAATATTCAACAAGATCCTAACCAACAGAAT